AGGATCGCATCAACAGCTTGACCCTGACTGGAAGATTTTTGAACTGAGCTAACGATTCTTTATATATTAGAGATTAGGTTAATGACGGGCTTCTAGAAATTTTGCGGATAACGCCAATAATTCACGTTACATGCGCTCTGAGCCTTACCATAGCTTCGTAAAGCACAGTTATCTAATGCACTTCTAGAAAAAATGCATTAGCTTAGGAGAGACCATACGCACGATATGGTGTGTTTACTTTTGAGAAATACCTAAAGAACCTAAGAGATATCCAAATACCCAAGTACCCAAATCTAATCGAACACCCTCGCCACTTTATATATCGTTGGGAAAATTTCCATGTTAACGGTAAGTTTTGAAATACAAATGAATCCTATAGATAAGAATGAATCCTATAGAAAAGCTTGTGTATCACTGTAAACCCTTGCTTTTGACATTTACGGGCCCACCCTTCGTACTGCAATACGTCGCGAAATAGATATGCAAGCGCTTTTCATTCATACAGATAGACGTCATCTTTAGAATTTAGTACAGTCGGAAGAAAACATGCTCATGAAGAAGAGAAAAACAAGAAAAATGAAAAAATGAAGGTGGGTTACATAAAACTGTCTGAACTCACTTTCCACTTAATCTAAACATATGCACAATTTGGCTGACCGCTCACATAAACAGCTCCTTGTGCTGAATCATTCACTTTTTGAAGAGAATTGATGTGAAGGTGCACAGCGACGACGGAGAGTGCGGACAGCTAGATATTGATCGCGAACCCAGAAGGCGGCAATCGGCAGGACGTCACTTCTCGCAAACGTCGCTGAAAACGAAAGATTCGTAGTGCGCATTAGAGAATCAAGTATTGGCGTACGTACCGTGACGCGTATTTGTCGCCGTAATGGTCTTCCAGTATTCTGAAAACGAGGCACTCTCCAGATAATGAAATTTTCCAAAAAAAAAACCCCAAAAATGAAGGCAGCTCTCAAAACTGGAAGCTGCATTCGATTTCGGTGGGACAAACAATACGTTTCGTCTTCTCCTCAGTCACTCTTTATGTGTGGGAATGAACATTGGAAACAGCAGAGAGAAGCCCCCAGCATAGATGATTTTTGAACGAGAAGGGAAGAGCACAGTCTGTCGCAAATAGATGAGGCCAAAATTTGCAAGATACGTAACCGCCGTGGTCCTGCATCACGTCTACGGGCTGATGAAAATTGGTGGTCAAAAGACCTATCCTATCTGTCTTCTCCCCATTCTCTCCGGCAATGCTTTGGCGGCCATACAACGCAAAATGCTAGGCGTTGCAAGCGCGCAATTCGTTGATTCATTCGTATCACAGAGGGGAAAGGAGGCAATAAAAACTACGTTATACAGTCTATCGCAATCCCAATCAGCAAATCACGAATACGGCCTGCTTGCCTGTCCTCTTTTTAACCTCTTCGCTGTCTCCGACAGTGCGCATGCAGCGCTAACCCCTAACGATGAGATTCCGCAAATTTATGCAAGCGGTTCGCCCTAATCCCGGTTCGGACAGAGTGTAGGCCGTCTGCGTTTTGCACGAAATACAACGCTGTTGCGTTTGTCGCTGATGGTTCATCAGTGGAAGCGAGAACAAAGAAAAACCGCGAGAGTGCACGACAAGAGAGAGTTCACCCGAGTCCGCGACTCCGCGACCTGCGCGGAGGCTTGTATCCGTGTGGAATCAGTGCCTGAATGACAATTAAACTCGTTAATAGGAAGGCTTCAAGGCTATACCGTGCTTCCCCCAGAATTGTTCCCGTATGACCATCAACGTGGCTGCCCTTCTATTGTTTTAACACGTTAACTCCAGCAAATAAGGCCCTTATTTGAAGTTGACAAGTTGAAATGATCGGAAGACAACCACGTTGATGGTTCATACGGGAACAATTCTCGGGGGTGCACCAAAGCGGGTAAGTCTGCCCGAATCCCAATGGCCAACATTGGTATGGCGCGACTACGCGTTGCTGAGTTTTGCAGCGCCACTACGGCTTGCTCTCTCCTCTGACATTCGCTTCGGACGAACGGCGCGCAAAAATAACGATTCCTACGACCCGCGCCTGTCGAGCGTATGAGCGGCGCGACCTAGTCGGATTTGAGTACGAGCGGCGCGCAGTTCGGAGTGTATCAGTACGAGCGGCGCGCAATTGACAAGCAGGACCGGCCGCGTGCCTTCAAACGTACAAGCGGCGTACCACTAATTTAAGCTTCTGCAGCTTTTCAGGCAGATCCACATGTTCACGGCTACCATAGTCAAAGAAAGACGTTTAAGTTTGTGCGCGATCATTATTTATGCATTCGGTTATAATTTTCTCATTTTTAAGTGCACAAAAACTATATCGTAATTTCCATACGTTATAAGCATAAAGGGTACTTGCGTAAGATACGACGCAGTGATTAGGCTGCTCTCAATGCTAATTGGCTTGAGTGCGTTTACAGCATTTACACAAGGATTACACAAGGACATACTAGCCGGAAGGTGGTCCCATAGGCAATCTTCGATAGCACCTCCGTGTTGCTTAATCTTGTAGCCGGACGTGATTTCCGAAACTGCCATATCGGTGGCGTTAACACAAAGTTGTCGTATCAGCGATTCAAGCACGAAATTACCGTACCAGCGGCGCGAAATTCGCGCATCACCCGAGCGCATTTGGCGGGCGAACGGCCATTGAGGAATCTGCTCGTACGCAAACTTCGCGCGGCTCGTACGGAACGAATGTCGGAGTCTTCGATCTCTTCGCTCTATCCGACAGTGCGCATATGCTCCCGCCAGAGTGCCGAAGTTATGCCAGCGCTACGCCAGCATTTCGATCGATACACGTGTATTTCGTTGGGGACATCTACCTGCTGAGCTAGCCCCGCCCCAACAAAATACACGTGTATCGATCGAAATGCTGGCGTAGCGCTGGCATAACTTCGGCACTCTGGCGGGAGCCTTACCTAGGTATGCAGCGCAAGGTAGTGGTGCTGCGTGCGCGTGGATTCAGCAAACAGTTCGGCCCGATTAGGGCAGATTATACGGAAGCCCATATCATTTGAGGCTGGTAGAATGTGAAGAACAGCGGTCAAATTATCTTGAAGGCAGCGTTCAGGCAAATCGGGACCTGCGGAGATCTCACATGGAAAGTAGCAGTTCCCGGCGCTAACCAAGACACTGCCTTAAAGGCAGTGTCCGGGCAAAAACTCGATTTTGAGATTTTGTGCTTATACGGGCCTATTCGCCGTGCTGAATCCGAAAATCCACATTAGAAAGCGCGAAAACGGCGAAAAAGGGCTCTAACACAGGAGGGAAATCAGCAGGTGGGCGGGGCTTTCCCCAGTGCGATTTCACGCTCCCGGCTCCCGGAGCAATTTTCTCGATTCCGCTAGCCGTCCTAACATCGCTACCGGTCAAGTGCGAATGATTGACTTGAAACCGGAAGCGAGAAGGTCGCTCCGGAAGCCGGGAACGTGAATTCGCAGTGGGGAGGGCCCCGCCCACCTGCTCATTTCCCTCCTGTGTTAGAGCCGTTTTTCGCCATTTTCGCGCTCTACAATGTGCATTTTCGGATTCAGTGTAGCGAATAGGCCCAAGTAAGCACAAAATCTCAAAATCGAGTTCTTGCCCGGACACTGCCTTTAAGCGGCAGCGCGAATAACTCACGGCTGAGATATTCGTCTTCACACTGGACCCCGAGATCGTATTGTCGGACGACTTGCATTGTGCTTGCATACTTTCGCGCGGGACCCACATGAAGGTAGGTCGCGGTATGAAACCATACGAAGATTTCAGACAATCAAAGCCTCAGCGGGCCACAAAGCCACCGCCAACCCCACCAAAAGCGCCGTGCCTTATCGTCGCCAGTTTCGCTTCGCGCCAAAGACTTTATAGCAGCCCGCTCGCTGCCAGTTCTAGCAAGGTTCTCAGCGAGAACCGACAACTCAGGCAAAAGTACCGGGCGAGCGCCGGGCTAATCAGAGACCCCCGGCCGAGCGGTTGCATTCTCCGGCCGAGCGAGCTCATTTGCCGGGCAAGCGACCCAAAATCAGAAAGCACCGGGCGAGCGGCTACATTCACCGGCCGGCCGTCCGTCAGTTAACTGCTGTCCGTCAGAGGTGCGATAGTCGGAGCCGAGTCTCCACCTACCTTCACTTTTGAGCTGGTACGGGGACCACCTTCACTTTTGGGTTTGAGAAAATTTTTTTGTTGAAGCTTAAAAGAAGGAAAATAAGCAAAAGGAACGCAAAAGAAAGTATTGAGAGCATATATCTATGTAGTAAGTCGATCTAGGCAGTAACCGCCGAGAACCAGAATTTCGAATGATAAAACTGCAAACTTAAACTAAACTAAAATAAACTTGCATTGACCGCCGGATCTTGCATTGACCGCCGGATCTTGCATTGACCGCCGGATCTTGCCATTGACCGCCGGATCTTGCCATTGACCGCCGGATCTTGCCATTGACCGCCGGATCTTGCCATTGACCGCCGGATCTTGCCATTGACCGCCGGATCTTGCCATTGACCGCCGGATCTTGCCATTGACCGCCGGATCTTGCCATTGACCGCCGGATCTTGCCATTGACCGCCGGATCTTGCCACTGGACGGCCGTTCTACATCGCCCTGCTGCTGCTCCATCCTCGGCCGTTACCTCCCCCACTCCTCAACCTCCACCTGCCTCCTCCCTACACCTTTGGCCTTCGTTCTGACTTCTGAGGCCACGACGCTTGCTCAAGCTCCCTCAACCCTCCTGCTTCGACTTCCACCGGCCAATATCCTGTTTTGGACTGCCAACTCCAATTTTAAGGCTACGCTGGAGCCCTTCTTCAATCGAGCGTGATCGATCGAGACTGTTTGCTGCTCGATTCACGCCATCATATCAACCACGCCTCCCCCTTACACCTTCGTGTGCCCTCCGCCTCCACGCCTCCTCGTCCCACGTCTTCCTCGAATGGCGCCGAAGAGAAGCAGATGTGACGAAGCCGACGCATGCCCCACGTAGGTCAAGGATATGCTTACGAAATGGGAAGAATATTTAGAAAGGTTTGATCGGATTTTTGCGTTGTTGATGAAGATGCAGGAAACCCAGCAATATCTGTGCTCTACTGTAAAGGAATTAGAGGCACGCGGACGAATTCGAAACGCACAAGCGTACCCTGATCGGCGACACGGCAGCGACGCGCAGTTTTCGCCGCCGAGCGCGACAGCGACCACGAACTTTGTTTGTTTACGTTTGAAGTTTCAGGCGCCGATCTTTGTACACTTATGTGTTTCGAACCCGTCCCGACTTTTAAACGCACGATTATTAGAGCATGTTAAGAAAGGCAGAACTGGAACTCTTGCTTTTTTGTGACTTTTTTGCACACACTATTTGCGTTTAGCGTACCGGTGATGTTCCACAATAAAGTGGAATATCGGTAAAGCCAAGTAGGTGTATGACAAGGGTGGAAAGAAAAGTAAGACCGCTAAGAGGAGTTAATGGGAAGGGTACTTATGTTATCGATAGGGACGAATTCGAGTTATACGTGCTGATTGTTTATCGACAACGTAAGTACCCTTTCCAGCCTCATTTTATAGACTTAATTGTTAGCATTACCGAGAAGCGAAAAGAAAACCTATCGATAGTGTTGTTGATGGATTGGGGTCGGAAGCTATATGTCAAATAAGGACTTTACAGCTCCTGACAATGAGAGTGAATATGCGAGTTTTCGCAGGAAAAAAGTTCTTTGCAAACTTGTTGCTAATTCTGGTCTCATCTGTTTGTAAGGGTAGAAAGCAGAAAGGTTCGTGGTTCTTGCATATAGTTTTCACCAAAAGCTGGAATTCGTTGGAAACCAATTGTGGTCCTTTATCACTACAAATATAGTTTGTGCAAAATATGTAATTACTTTGAGACTTATAACTAAGGTAAGGATCCTCGAAGCCAGATCAGCTACTGAGATGTGAAATTCCTAAATTGCCGCTCATAATTCGTGAGAACAGGATCGTGGCCGCTGTGCTTGGACGGCCTCCGCCGAAGTTCACCAGAATTTTCGCTTGAGGTCTCGGTTTAGAGTAGACTAGTTGTGAAGGGTACCATTCAGCTACTTCGACATGGCAAACGCCGGCGCTATTCGGCTATCCGGGCCCCAAAATTTTTTAGTCATGGATTTCGCTCAGACTTGGTCCAGGGGTGCTATCTGACATGCTGATCACGAATATCACCTTTTCTCCGCAGCAAAACGCCCCCCTGCAGGGTTACGGTATATACGGTAGGGGGTCAAAATCTCAAAATCCGCTGTGCTTCGCACAGAGGGGTTATTCGACATGCTGATTAGAAATGTCACATTTTCTCCACACGAAGACGTCTCCCTGTATGGTTACGGTAGGTTTACGGTAGGGGTCAAAATTACACATCGGCAAATGTATCTTTCCCCTGTGCTTTGCTTACAAGGGAGGTCCAATTAGTCGAAGTGCCTTTTCGAATTAGCCGTATACCGTTTTGAAGAGCGTTAAACTCTGATTCCGAATCTGCTTTCATTATCTGCCGAGCGCCTCTGCGAGCCGAGTTATAAATGATTTTTTGGAGCGAAAAGTGAACGCAGAATCCAAGTAAAATCAACTATTACGGATTTTTCAGCGCTCAAATAGAGCAGTATGTAGTATAAGTGTTTTGATCAAAAGGTGTTCTTTGTATGGAGTGCTTTGGTAATCAAAATTGGACCATTTGAGCAATTTTGACGAATTTTGTTCCAATTACGCATTCATTTTTCCAACACAAAAACGCTCATAACTCGGCGTCCAGAGGCGCTCGGCAGATAACGAAGAAGATTCAAAATCAACGTTCAAAAAAATGGTATATGATTCATTTGGAAAGGCCACTTCGACTAATCGGACCTCCCTTGTTAGGCAAAAGCCGCAGCAGGGTGTGAAGCTCGCGGCGGTGGTCGTGTGTGCAAAGCTTCACGATCGTCCTAATCGCCGTACACCCGTTTCAGGCAGAACTATGTACACCCGTTACCGTGTAGCAACCGTAACCCGAGAATGTGACGCTATGGTTCAAAACTAATGTGATATTTGGCATCAGCATGCCAAATCACCTCTCTAGACGAAGTTTCGGGCAAATCCGTGATTTTGATCTCCTACCTTATACCTACCGTAACCCTGCAGGAAGGCGTTTTCCTGGAAGAAAAGGTGATATTCGTGATCAGCATGTCAGATAACCCCTCTGGGCCAAGTTTGAGCGAAATCCATGACTAAAAAATTTTGGGGCCCGGATAGCCGAATAGCGCCCTCGCCTTTCTTTTCAGCAGTTATGTTCTCGATCTGGCTGCTCCTCAAAGTCACTCACCGAGTCTCAACCCAACATTTTCACCATGTACAACTTTGACTAATTCTCATTTTTGTTCGGATCCCAAACATAATTTGGTGACCGCCGGACGGAGCAAGCATTTTGCAAATGTAGTCTGCGCATGTTCCCTTTTGAAAATCAACAAAGGTAACATCTTGTCGTGACCAAATCTGTTTAGTCGGAATTGAGACTCAGATGTAATAACTGGTAAATAGTAAGCTCTTCAGGTATAATTCCATGCTTCTCCACTGCTTGATATTTCGGAGAAATCTCAGAATGTGGAGAAAGCTTCTTGGAGATTCGCGGACGAAATCACAAAATCATCTATTGCGCATTGGCTGTACAGGAGAATTTCAGACATCAACATTACAAAGCTGTGATTGCCACTTTGTAACAATAGTGCTCGATGGTGATCGATTTTGGAAACCCTTGTAAAAAAATCAAGTTCGTGGTCGCTGTCGCGCTCGGCGGCGAAAACTGCGCGTCGCTCCGCGACGCCGATCAGGGTACGCTTGTGCGTTTCGAATTCGTCAGGCACGCGTCTCCAATTTTGACAAAACTCTAAACGATGCCGTTTATAGCGCTCTTGCGAAATTCAATTCGGATTCCAGGATAGTCAAAGAAAAGGAGTGCAGAATTACCTGGGTCGGGATCGAAGAGAAGGGGACACCGCAAGCGACCGCTGCGTTCGATCGGGAAGCAATAAAAGAAGTAATTGATGCATCTGGGGATGACGAGCTGGTCGCGGAATGGACCAACCGCAGGATCGACGTCCGTCGTTTCCCCGAGGTACGAACAAAGAAGTCTTCGCGCCCCCGTATCATTAAAATCACTACTTCGAGCCCACAAATAAAGGATAATCTTCTAAACCAGATGAAAAGGGCAAGGCTATCTTTAACCAAGCAATTTTCGCATTCTTATGCGCGTAGGGATTACACTTTTGAAGAGCTTGAATTTGACAGAGCCTTGCGAAGAAAGGCCGGACTTCTGAACCGCCAAGAAGGGAAACTCCTTTATGTTGTACGGGATTTGCGGATACACAAATTGAAAAATCCGCGCGCACTGGCAAGTTCTGGTAATTTTCTGAGTGGCACTCACCAAGATGTAATCGCGGAAAATCTCAGTGCTTGCAGTTCTCCTTCACGGTCAGGTGTCAGCTACTCGCCCAGCCACGACCACCTTCAACCAACAGGACAGACCCGAGATGAGTCAGCGCCCTCTGCCCCTCGAATGGATCAAGGAACACGGGATCGCCTTCATCGCTAGGATATGGTGGTGGGTGGCATGCGCCCACGCAATACTTCTACCAGATTTTTATTGTCCAATTGCCTTTTTTCAAATCGCCTTTTGTTATTTAATGCACGTTCTATCACCAACAAAATCCCCGATCTTGAGCTTCTCCTCAATAGTCGTCCTTTTTGTGTAGTTATTACTGAAACTTGGTGTAAGCCTCAAATTTTACATGATGCCACCCTCAGTTTTTCAAATATTAGGTTGTTGCAAAAATAATGTCCGTTTTTCTAGGCCTATTTTCCGAACAACTTTTTTCCTTCATAACTTCTTTTTCGATATGGATTCTGCATATCATTGGAAAGCTTTCTTCATGTACTTTCTCACAGTTGTGAAACTAAGCTTCTATCTCATCTGTGAGAATTTCACCAGCATCTCAAACAGCTGCACTCAAAATCGAAAATTCGTTGCTTTAACTCCCTTGGCTACAATTCAGACGCAAATGAACGGGTTCTTTTGAAAACATAGCTACTGTATTGGTTGAACATTGTTTACCTATAGCATATTTAGATACATTTTTTCAAAATATCTGAACCGAGAAATCGACGCCCCAAAATAGATACTCGCTGCTGGCATTCTATGGGTCCAAAGTTTCTCATAAGTAGGGCAATCGCCGAAGCTTCGCTCATTTCTGTATGCCTGATATCAGGACATCTTTCCCACAATTTTAGCAGAAAAGCTTAGCTACTCGGTGTATAAAGAATTTCAAATTTCCATACTTTGGGGCTTTCTGGCCTTCCACAAATAGGCTCGAAAAAGTGAAGAAATTTGAATTTTTATCTTTTCTATTCGCAGGACTCCTTCATTAAAGTCTCTTCTAAGTAGCAGTATACTACTGGCTTGTGTCTACAAATTAAGCTAATTAGCAGCCAGAGGAACAAAACTCGAAGAGAGTTGCAGTCTCACGAAGACGAGGTTTTTAAAAGAAAAACTTTCGGTTTTTTGACGCACGGTTTTCTTCCCCTTTGTGATATCAGTATATGCAGGCGCGCGTTAGGTTAAAAAAGGTTTACTGCTTCATATGGTTTTGATTGCATTCAAAAACATGAAAAGTGGACAAAGTTATAGCCTATCAAATGAAATTTTGCAAAACGGACATTATTTTTGCAACAACCTAATAATTACTGTGTTTATCGTTGTGATCGTGAAGGAAAACGTCCTGGGGGTGGGGTAGCTGCACTTTTTGCGTCCTGTCTGAAGCATTCACTTATAGAAGCAAGAAATTTTACCGAATTCTGTCAATGTTTGGTCACTCAAGTTACGTTTGCTAGCAGTGATATAAATGTCATAGCTGTCTACAGAAGTCCGTCATGTAGTCAAGATGCACTTTGCGACTTACTTGATTTTCTCGGTCAGTTTATGGTTGAGCAACGATGTAGAACTATTATCTTGGGAGATTTCAATTTCCCACTTATAGACTGGGACAATATGGCCACCAGAGACAATATGTCAACAAACTCAGCTGCCAGATTTCTTGATTTCTGTTTGGCGCAAGGCCTCTGCCAGCTTGTAACTACTCCCACCCATGGGCTCAATGTTCTTGATCTGGTTCTAGTTGACGACCCAGCTGTCGTTGATTGTGTCAGTGTTATGCCGCCGTTTAGTACTTCAGACCATAATATGGTCTGTCTGGAAATTACCAGAAATTACTTTGATCTTGAGCCCAAAGGCGATTTCCTTGATTTCCAGAATGCAAATTACACTAAGATTGTGCATGAATTTAGTTCGTATAATTGGCACCAGATCCTTGATTGTTGTGCAAGTCCAGACGAATGCTATGGGCATTTCGTTTCTATCTGCCATCTACTCATACGTAAGTATGTACCACTTCGCAGAAAGCATGGCGCATATGTTAAGATACCTGATAAATTGCTTAGGCTTAGTAAGAGAGTGGCTTATCTTTATCACTGTCGAGCCTCACTGGGTATGCATAAGTACACCTCGTTGGCTCGTAAACTCAAGCGGGAAGTAGCCCGCTGGAGGAGCGCCAGCGAAAGCAGAATTGCTAGTTCGGGAAACTACAGAGAATTTTATAGGTACTGTAACCACAAGCTGAAACTTTCGGATCGCATACCTAATCTCAGGGAAGGTGACAACATCTTACGTGATGACATGCAAAAAGCAAACCTTTTCGCAGATTACTTTGAGAAGGTTTACATAAGTCATTCCCCCACTTCCGTCACACTGGCCCCTAAGACTGATAAAGTACTTGACTGGGTCGCCATCACTACCGAAGTGATTTACAATAAGCTTCGCAAATTGCCAAAAAGGAACTCCACCTCTCCAGATGGGATACCGTACATTTTGCTAAAAAATGCCGCTCTGGGACTAGCTTCCCCCCTTACCTTATTGTTCAACAGATTCCTCTTGAGGGGTGAGGTTCCGCAAATTTGGAAGCTTGGGCTTGTTAAGCCCATCCACAAGAAGGGGCTCAAAACATCCGTTGGCAACTACCGCCCAATATGTTTGACTTGCTCAGTATGTAAAGTTTTGGAAAGAATACTGTGTGAGGGTATTATCAAATTTTTGAGCCAAAATAAGCTACTTACCAAGGCGCAAAATGGTTTTCTTAGCAAGAGATCAACTATGTCTGCTCTCATGTTTTCGGTCCCACTTTGGCATAGAGAAGTGGATCGATGCCGATATGTCTCTGTATGTTTTGTAGACTACAGCAAAGCCTTTGACTCCATCTCTATACCGCTGCTTCTTGTTAAACTCCAAGCCTATGGCATCCAAGGCTCGTTGCTAAAATTTTTGAACTCCTTTCTCAATGGTAGACAACAATCAGTTACCATCAACGCCGTTAATTCACGGGTTTACAATACCACGAGCGGCGTACCTCAAGGGTCGGTTCTCGGCCCTTTGCTGTTTCTCGTATACATAAATGACCTTCCTAGCGCTCTCCCAGTGGGCACTTTTTGTTCCATTTATGCTGATGATTCCAAAATCTACACCATAAGTGATGCCGCTCTCTTACAAGAAGCCATAAATGCACTTGCTGCATGGTCGTCAACATGGCAGCTAACTATTTCCAAAGAGAAGACCTGTGTTATGACCTTCGGCAGAAACCACCCCATAGTTGAATTCACGCTTGAAGGGTCCATCTTACATCGTACCCGTTCAATTCGGGATTTGGGTGTTGAGTATACTGACAGCTTCGACTTCCACGCGTACATTTCAGAGATCGTTTCAAAGGCTAAATGCCGATCAAATCATATCCTCAAAGCATTTAGCAGTCGAAATCCCATACTGCTTTTCAAACTGTTTATTGCCTACGTTAGACCTTTACTCGAATACTGCTCTCCTCTGTGGTCTCCTCAAGATAGAGCACAGATTGAAGCTATAGAGAAAGTCCAGAAGTCCTTTACTTATAGAATTTTCGCCAGAAAAGGCATATTTGAACTGTCTTATCTCGGCAGGATCAAAAAATTGCATACTCTTACACTTGAAGACAGAAGAATTCTTGCGGAACTTGCATTCATCTACAAGCTCACCACGAACGAACTTGACCTCAACCTTTATGACATTTTTGAAGAACCACAGCGAGTGAATGTAACAAGAGGCCATCCGTTCAAGGTTAAAGTCGATAAAGCCAGACTTTCTTCTTATAAGCAAAGCTTTATTGGACGTGTGCAGATGCCCTGGAATGGTCTGGACCCCCAGCTTTTGAAGTATTCTTCTGCGGCATCTTTCTGCTCTCATTTGCTTGAGTACCTTCACTCTCGTAACATGTTGGTATCATCTTAAGATCTCTTTAACCTATAATCTGTTTACTTGTTTTTTTTTCCATGAGCTTTTTTGTTTTACTATTCTCATTCGGTAAATCGTTGCGTTTTTGAGTTGTCTTTCGTACCTGTCTTATTTGTTTACTGAATAAATAATTAATCAATCAATTAAAACAGCGAAAAAGTTATACGAAATTTCCACTGTTATAAATCCGGTGGTTAAAGATGTCAGCACTTGCGACTTCAAAGGTTTTGAAGGGCAAGTGTTTTTCTAGAGATAGTGAAAGAATTAGGTCGATCTGAGCAGTGGCCGCCGAGAACGAGAATTTTAAAAAATAAAGCTATTTTAGGTTGCTTAGTGACAGCTGACGTTCAGAATCCTATAAATCTGGAATATGAAGGTGTGCAGTGTTGCGACTTCATAGGTTTTGTAGAGTAAGAATTGCTCTATCGAACTATGCCTTAGCCGTACCGATCCATCAAGAAACCGCCGAGATTCAGGCTCTTAAAAAACAGGTGAAAAAACGCTTTTTGAATTTTAACAGCTCATAACTTCTTAAGAATTGCATGAATTATGTTGCGACTTCATACGTTAGAATCTTCTCATCAAGAGCTTTCAGATGATATATAACATATGGGGGTTTCGCGCCTTTCACGGCACATGCCCGGGGGTGGAGACTTTTCACCCCAAAGCCTCCACTAGCGATCTCCGGCCAATACATTCACATGGGCGAGGTGGAGACTTTGGGGTGAAAAGTCTCCACCCTGGGTTAGAGCCGCAAAAATCATTGAACCCCCCACATGTCATATATCATCTGAAAGCTCTTGATGAGAAGATTCTAAAAGTCGCAACATAGTTCATGCAATTCTTAAGAAGTTATGAGCTGTTTAAGTTCAAAAAGCGGTTTTTCACCTGTTTTTTAAGAGCCTGAATCTCGGCGGTTTCTTGATGGATCGGTACGGCTAAGGCATAGTTCGATAGAGCAATTCTTACTCTACAAAACCTATGAAGTCGCAACACTGCACACCTTCATATTCCAGATTTATAGGATTCTGAACGTCAGCTGTCACTAAGTAACCTGAAATCGCTTAATTTTATAAAATTCTCGTTCTCGGCGGCCACTGCTCAGATCGACCTAATTTTCTTACTATCTCGTAGAGCAACACTTGCCCTTCAGAACCTATGAAGTCGCAATTGCTGACATCTTCAACCGCAAGATTTATAAACGTAGAAATTTCGCATAATTTATC